GGCTCCAAAGCTACACAGAGAAACAAAACAAAAAAGTGAAGAACTAGAAGTAAATCTCAATTTTGGGGGGAACTATTAAAAAAACAAGTAATGAGTATATCTGCCTTATTCATAGCTCATCATAGCTCAGATTCACTAGTGTAACGCTATCAATAGTCTTCAACTTACAATTTCATTGCAACTTCAATAAAGTTCAACATTTTGGGGGGCAATTCTTTAAAATATATACTGAGAGTTGGGTATGGTGGTACCGACCTGTAATTGAAGGGACTTGGGAGGGTGAGACAGGATTCCAAGTTGGAGACCAGCCTGAGCTACAGAGTGAGTTCAAGGCTAACTGGGCAACTTAGCAAGATCCTGCCTCAAAATGGAAAGGGATTAGACCTAAAACACACACACACACACACACACACACACACACACACACTCACACAAGCAACACTAAATAGACGCAGCCAAAAGCCCCGGTTTCAACACTCAGTACCATGAAACAAACAAAATAAATGGAAAGCAAAGATTCAAATTAGCCATGACAAACTCAAAAGTAGACCGATAAGATACTTCACTTGAATTGGTATCAAGATATGGTCAAAAAGAATAGAAGGAAGTAAGATAAAGGGGCTGATAACGAAGTAGACAAATGCACCAGTTGTATAGAACAGAGAAGCCAGAATCAAAACCGCACACATCAAGGAACTTGATTAGCAATGGATGTGGCATTACAAATCGATGAAAAAAAGATAAGCTACTCAAAATCGATACTAGGGCAGTTAATTATCTATGTGGAAGAAATTACAGCAGATTCATTTCTCAAATAAAACCAATCAAAGATAAATTAAATAGCTCAATTCCTAGTACCAAAAATAACAATAATGATGGTGATTTTAGTTATATATATACATATACAAATATATACATATTTGATTTTTCGAGACAGGGTTTCTCTGTGTAACAGTCCTAGCTGTCCTGGGACCTGCTTTGTAAACCAGGCTGGCCTCGAACTCACAGAGTGAGTGCTGGGATTAAAGGTATGTGCCACCATCACCCTGCACTTTTCCATATTTTTATTATGTTTATCAATGGGGAGGGGAGGAAATGTTAAAAGCATGTATGGAGGTCATAGGCTCTCTCCTTCCACCATACGGGCCCTGGGAACAAATTCAGGTCATCAGGTTTGTCGGTGAGTGCCTTTACCCAACAGGTTAAGATAGTAGGGCCATGAGTTCCAGGCCAGCCTGAGCTATACTGCAAGACCTTGTCTTAAAACAACAACAACAACAACAACAATAATAATAATAATAATAATAATAATAATAATAATAAATATCCAGGCACAGTGGTGTGTACCCCATGTCCCAGTTACTGAGGAAGCTCAAGTCTAGTTCAGAGTCAGCCTGAGAAACAGCAAGATCCCATCTCAAAACCAAAACAAACCCCAATAAAACAGACCAAGGAAACGAAAATAGACATCCATACAAAAACTTGTATAAAAATTATTAGAAGCAGCATTCCTCAAAGCAACCAAAAATGGCGCTGGAGAGATGACTGAGCAGTTAAGAGCATTTATGGCTCTATCAGAGGACCCGGGTTTGGATCCCAGCACCTTTATCATAATGGTTCACAGAGGACGACAATTCCAACTCCAAGGGATCTCATGGCCCTTTCTGACTACCAGGGGCACCTGCATACACACATGTACACACATACACACACACACATACACAAAATAAAATAAATCATTAAAAAAATAAAATAAAAATAAACCCACCCAAATATAGTGACACATGCCTGTCTGTAATCACAGCATTTGGAGGCTAATATAAGAAGATTATAGGTTTAGGATGACCTCCTCTATACTGAGTTCCAGGCCAGTCAGGCTACGTAATCAATCAATCAATCAATCAGTGAACAAACAAATCTGAATGGCCTCCAACTGATGAAAGAATAAGTAAAACATGCATTGAATGAAACATTATTCACTAATAAAAAAGAACTCCTGCATACATGCCACAATATGAACTTTAAAAAGCTGCTGGGATGCTGGGCAGCAACGGCGCATGCCTTTAGTCCCAGCACTCGAGAGGCAGAGCTAGGCAGATCTCCGTGAGTTCGAGGCCAGCTTGATCTACAGAGCGAAATCCAGGACAGGCACCAAAACTACACGGAGAAACTCTGTCTCGAGAAAAAAAAGAAAAAGAAAAAAGAAAAGCTGCTGGGGAGGTGAATGTATACTCATGTATGAAACTGTTAAAAGAATCTTAAGAATGCTAAGTGAAAAAAGTCAGTCACAACACGCTACATAGCGCATATTTCCACCAGTATGAAATGCTCACAACAGGAAAATCTATAGACATACAGCGGGATGGTAGTTGCCTAGAGCTGTTTGAGACTAGCTGATTTCTATAACCCTGTCCAACTGCACTCGGGAAACAGAGACAGGCAGATCTCTGAGTTGGAGGCCAGCCAGAGCCACAGCGAGACCCTGCCTAAAAACAAACAAATACACACTAGACTATAAGCTTAGCCTGATTATTCAAATGGCCTTGATTGAAAGCTATATCCCATAAACAATTCAGCAGTACTATTTTCAGACTTCCTGTTAGCATGTGTCCTGAATAACTGAAGAGCAAAACCCAACACCTCTCTCTCTCTCTCTCTCTCTCTCTCTCTCTCTCTCTCTCTCTCTCTCTCTCTCTCTCAGCAGTATTAGCAGCAAAAGTACTCAGGGAGGAGGCAGTAAAAAGTCCCCTGATCACTAAGACAAACAGTAGCATACATATACATAGTAAACAGCATGCCAAACACATTGCCAATCTTGCTGTCTGGAATATTTAGATCCGATGGGGATTCTTAGATATTTTTTTTCCACCCAGAACAGGCAGCAATGCTTTGCAGTCTCAATGTGACTAAGGATCACCAGGGAGGGGTTAAGTAGGAAAGAACTTTCTATGTTAGGCTTTCCTCCTCCATCCGTCATTCTTCCTGGGTGCATGCCTGATTTCTGTTACTATAAAAGAGATGCTCTGCACAGTAGAGGGAGGCGGGGATTTCAGATAAGATTTACTCATACTGAAACTCAGCGTGGGCAAAGCAGGCCTATAAGGAGTTTTACAATATAGTGGGCATTTCCCAATTTCGTGTGATGAAAGGTTAAAAGAGGAAATGAATTTCCCCAGAGTCTCCTGAACTGTGTACTTTATTCTTAAGAGATTTGTCAGAAAGACTAACAAACAATACAATTTAAGGTAGATAATGGAGGGCCAGTAGTCTATTATTTTGCTTCCATGTGAAAGATTAGATTTTTAGACTCAAATATCACTTGCACACCCTAGGGAGCTCAAGATGAGGAAGCCAAAGGAAGCAGGCAAAATAAAAATGACTACCGTTAAAAAACTCCTTGATGGCCAAGTTGCTCCCGCTGTCTGTCATATACGATTATAATCAATCCAACTCCTCTGGCTGCGAAACGGTGCATGGTTACTGTTACCGCCACAGAAACAGTGTGGCAACTAACAACCGGCTCTCCAGATCCGAGAGAGAAGTGAAGTCTGTGTCTCAACAAACCAGCAACCAATCCTTTAAAAAACAAACTCACCAAGACTCTGCTCCATTCCCTTTTGGCTTTTCTTTAACTCTCGTGCTTGACTGCTGGAATGTGCCTGTGTCGGAATTACATTACTGTTCTGTAAACACTGTCTAAGTAAGTTAACGACTTTACATCTGAAACACCATGTTTTGCAGCGAGACTGGGTCTTGGTTACCAAGTGTTTCATTTTAAGAAAAAGGCATCACTATTACGCACCAGACGAACTAAGTTTAAAAACTCAGTCCAAGCTCAAGGAAATGCACAACACGGAAAGTGTTTCCTTGTTTGGGGGGTTGGGGGTGGGGGAGGCTAAGAAACTATATTTAACTGTATTAATACGGTTTAGTGGTCAAGTCCCTAGATTTCCGCCATCACTTAATTTTCTAGAACTCTGACAGGGCCTGCTTGTGGGTACTGTGCGAACCCGTGGGTTGGGGTTTAGGACTGAGAGAGGCAAATTAAAACAAGTGCAGAGAGCACTGGGAACTGGTCTGAGCCGAGGGGCGCAGCGTACCTGCCAGCGGCCGTAGGTGAGCAGGACCATGGCGATGGGGATGGCGGTGCCGGACATGGCATGCGTGGAGGGCATGCTGTACTCTGAGTTGTAGAAGATCTCCAGCTTGACGACGGGCGGCGAGGCCGGCCGCGGCCAGCGGATGATGTCCTTGGTGCACTGGCCCAGGTACATGACCAGCACCCAGATGATCACCAGCCTCCGGCCCACAAAGGGATCGAGGTTCCAGATCCAGAAGGGGAAGAAGAAGATGTAGAAGAGCTCGTTGCCCAGCTCGGTGCCGAAGCAGAACAGGTAGTAGAGCGGCCAGTTGCTCACCCTGGTCAGCTCGCCCTCCTCACCCGTCAGCGAGTTGCGGCGCAGCGAGCCCGCGCGGCGGGGCCCGGCTGGGCCCGGCTCGGCAGGCAGCCCGTTGCGTACGCCGTTGGGGGCGCCACGGCAGTCGGGCTTGGCGGGGCCGGGGCTGCACTCCGCGCCCGGCTGCTGTCCCCGTCGCCGAGGGTTCCCCGCGGCCCCGCGAGCCTCGCTCTCCCCATCCTCGCCCTCCGCGGGGCTGCCGAGCGGCGCCTCCACCCCACACAGTCGCTGGAAGCTCGCCACCCGCTGCGGCTCCTGCAGACGGACAGCCAGCAGCGCCAGCCGCTGCCCCAGGGACATGGTCGCGGGCCACTAGGGAAATTGCTCGGGACACGCGCTCCCCGCCAGTCACAGCCGCCACGGCTCCTAGCGCGACTCGCTCGAGGCTGCCGGCGACCGCGCCAACAGGCCGCAGCGGCCGCCGCGCGCGCCCTGCGCCCCGCGCGCCCCTCCCCTGGCGCGCTCCCCGCCCCCGCGCGTTCACGGAGGCCCGCGCCGCGCCGCGCCGCGCGCGCGCGCGCAGCCCCGAGCTTTCGCCGAAGTCACGCCTCCCGGTCTCCCGCCCCGGTTCCCCGCGGGCTGCTGTGCGTAGAACAGCGCGGTCCTAGGCAGGGCTGGTGACCCAGGAGCCGCAGGTTTTATTGGTCGGGAATCAACTGGGGCGTGATGAATGGAGGTAAATAACCGCCGAGCAACCGGAATCGTCCGACTCACGTCATTAATTAGCAACTAATTTCAGAGTTGTCTCGGATGGTTGATGTCCGGAAAGCCACGTGCCAATTGACCAGGGGTGGCAAGATTAGAAAGATGTAGAGATCCAGGACACAGCCTGGGTATGTGATCGCCCACACAGCTGTGGTCTGCAAGTGAAAAGCCAGTCGCCTGCAAAGTTAAACCAGGCTCTCTGTCGTCACTCATCACGTATGTACCTTAAGTGAACTTAAGTGTAAAATTTTCTAAATGAATTCTAACACCTACCAGGATTGCACAGAGCATATAGTTTATGGGGGAATGCAGCATGGGGAATTCTGAGGGTGGTTTTTCGTTTTGTTTTCTTTCTTTCTTTTTTTTTTTTTTTTTTTTTTGGTTTTTCAAGACAGGGTTTCTCTGTGTAGCTTTTTTGCGCCTTTCCTGGATCTCGCTCTGTAGACCAGGCTGGCCTCGAACTCACAAAGATCCACCTGCCTCTGCCTCTGCCTCCCGAGTGCTGGGATTAAAGGCGTGCGCCACCACCCGCCCGGCTTGTTTTATTTTTTTTGTTGTCATTGTTTTTCTTGTTTTGAACCATGGTGTAGTCTAGCCTAGACTGGTCTCAACTTTGCAGTGTAGTTGAGGCTGGCCCTGAACTCCTGATCCTCCCAAGATCTTGAACAGGCACACGTCGCCATTTCAGGTTTGAATTTTGAATTGGAGAGGCTTATTTAGAATTTAGAATCTTAACTTTTCTGTCTTGCACGTTACAAACTTGACTTCTAGATGGAACCGATTTTATTAAAAGATTTCAAAGTTTTAATTCCAGAAAGTTATTTCAGGCAAGGCAAATGAATGCCTATAATTAAAGACTGAACTACGTCCAAGAAACAGGCTGAAAAATGTTCCATGCTGGTAAGTCATTAGAAATAGTTTCATTTGCCAAAAAGCCAGGAGGTGGTGGCACACACCTTACTCCCAGCGCTTGAGAGGCAGAGGCCATAGAGTTAGGTCTACAGAGTGACTTCTAGGATAGCCAGGGCTACCCAGAGAAACCCTGTCTCCAAAAACCAAATGTGTGTGTGCGTGTGTATAAATATACATGCATCTATATTTTTTATTTCCCGAGAAAGACTACTCCCACCTCCTTCCATTCCGCTTGCTGAAGTCACAGAGAGAGGAATTCCTCATTGCCCTGGCCTTCGAATTGCTGCAAGTGTGGAGCGTGAGGTGATGGTACACACCTGTAATCCCAGCACTTGGAGGTGGAGGTGGAGATGGGAGGATTTGGAGTTGAAGGCAAACTGGGGCTACATAACAAGATACTGTATCAAAACAAGTAAGTGAAAGTGTTCACAGCCCAGTAAAGGAGACAAAGTATGAAAAGAGATATCCTGGGCCTTTAGGGTAGGGTACAAAGTAACCACTGTTTACGGAGGGTGTTACTGCTTACCTAGCAAGCAGGAGGCTTGAATTCGGTTCCAGCACACACACACACACACACACACACACACACAGACTGAGAGAGAGAGAGAGAGAGAGAGAGAGAGAGAGAGAGAGAGAGAGAGAGAGAGAGAGAGAGAGAGAGAATAGTGTTGATGTTTCTGAAGAATATAGACCATCATTATAAACTTTAGCATTTGCTGAAAATAATTTATAATAAGACATGCTATGCTGGCCAGGAACTTGCTGTGTAGACCAAGCTATCTGACTGAGCCCAGTGGGACAAACACTACCACATACACATGCACCTAGAAGTGACGCTCTGTGCTGCAATGACATCCTCCACGGCTGGGGACACATGGCTAGGGAAATGGACCCAGGACATGTGACCGGTCCAACTTCAGGAGATTCTACTGGACCCGACTTCCAACTGCTGAGGTAACGGGTGTTGGCTACACCTGGACATTCTGTTTGTGTTGAAACAACCTCAGGCCAGCCTGGTCTACAGAGCTAGTCCAGGACAGGCTCCAAAGCTACAGAGAAACCCTGTCTCGAACCCCCCCCCCAAAAAAAAAGAAGCAACCTCAGACTACCAAATTGTAGGGTTACAGGATGAACCACCATGCATAGTTTGTGTGCGTGTGGGCGTGTGTGTTTGATACAAGGTCTAACTATGTAGCCTGGATACTCTGAGATTTAGCTATGTTAACCAGGCTGACCTCAAACTTGCAGCTATCCTTCTGCCTCTGCCCCAGGAAGATTATCCTTGATTTTTATATCTTTAGCACCTAAAACAAATATTATTGAATAATTGGATGAATATAAATGAATGCATGAACTTAAAAAAAATCCATTCCTGGGTTGGGAATTTAGCTCAGTGGTAGAACACTTGCCTAGCAAGCGCAAGGCCCTGGTTTTGATCCTCAGCTCCAAGAAAAAAGAAAAAAAAAAAAATTCCTACAAGCTGGGTATGGTGGTGCATGCCTGTAATTCCAGCACTTGGGAGGTGGAGGCGGGAGGATCCAAAGTGTTTCAAAGGTTACAAAGTGGGCGAAGTGGCCATTTCAAAATTACTTTCCTTGTAGAAGTGGAGACAGAGACAGTTGGGGGTTTGGCGGGCAAGCCTTTAGCAGAGAGTCTGTTTTGATTCCTTTACTGCAGCCTAGTGCAACAGCCTTGTCTAAAATAAGGGTCTTCCGTAAATTCTATTCAACATCGTGCTTGTACATTCTTTTCTGTGTTTCAAATACAGTTCTCCTCCTAAATTCTGTCTGAATCTCTAGCTCAAATCCTACTCCTTCCCTGCTAGGAACAAGCATTTTTCATTGTTCTCTCGTGGCCCTGTGTCTTCCACCTCCGTTAGAGCATTTGAACAAAGGAGACGTTTGTAACGAGGTCTTGTGTACATTGTAAAAAGCTGTGTGCTCCGTGGCTTCTGCTGGCCTGAAAAGAAAACACTTCCAGAAATCCCGGGAAATGGAAATGGAAATTGGAAATGTCTGTGTGCTCCGTTTACTTTAGAAGACATTTAACTCATTAAATCCACATTCTGATGGTTGATGAGACGCCTCAGGACAGAGTGACAGCCAGCTGCCGCCAAACCTGAGCATTGGAGTTTGATCCCAGGGTGGAGAGAACTGACTTCTACAGGTTTCTTCTCTGACCTCTAACCTACGCATACATATTAAATATAATAAAAAAATTTTTCGACGGGCGGTGGTGGCGCACGCCTTTAATCCCAGCACTTGGGAGGCAGAGCCAGGCGGATCTCTGTGAGTTCAAGGCCAGCCTGGGCTACAGAATGAGTTCCAGGAAAGGAGCAAAGCTACACAGAGAAACCCTGTCTCGAAAAACCAAAAAAAAAAAAAATTTTTTTTCATTGACAATCTTTAAATTGTCTGAAGAGTCCATCAGAGGGAAGGGGAATATGAAAGCTCATTGCAAGATCTCAAGTTCTGCTAAGGAATGATACTTAATTTCTAGGTGTTGCAAACAGATATTCTTGGCATCCCACAAACAAAAGAATGAGACAGGAGGGTCACTTTGTTTTCTTTTGGCTTTTTTTTTTTTTTTTTTTTTTGGAAACAATGTCTTACTATGTAGCTCGGGCTGGCCTGGAACTCACTATGTAGCTAAACTCGCAGAGATAACCTGCAGCTGCCTTTCAAGGGCTGTGATTAAAGGCGGGCTCCAGCCTCACGTGGTTTTTATTTGAATGCAGGTTGTGATGTTTCCGCATTGACTGGGGTCTGACCTCACACTTTCAAGATTGGCTAGTTTTTCAAAAATGTGAATAAAGGAGGTAAAGAAAAAGGGGAGGGGGTCGGCTGCCCTAGGCCATCGCCGTGTGTGTGTGTGTGTGTGTGTGTGTGTGTGTGTGTGTGTGTGTGTGTGTGTGTGTAAACCAATGTTTTACAGGGAGGCGGGGTGGAGGATTAAATATTTACATAAAAGTTTTGCAAGGTGGGGAAGATTAAAAGATTTGAATTCTTTTTGTAAAAGTTTTACAAGGTGGAGAAGGCTTACGGAATAAGCAATTAGAACATTGTGGAGCAAGCTACACTTGAGAGGAAAAAGAATTTCCTCTACATAGACTATAGTCAAAAGGAAAAGATGAGAAAGAAGAAACTTGAGGTTGAATGGTAAATACCTTTTTAAAATCATTTTTATTTTTGAGACAATCTCATGAAGCTGAGATGACCTTGGTCCCCTGAGTCTCCAGCTTCTACTTCCCAAGAACGGGGATTACAGGGATCGGCTACATTGTGAATTAGAGGCCGTTCTGGGTTACAAGAGCAGAGTCTCAAAAACCAGACCAATTTATCAACAGTTATAGTGTGACAGAACTTTTCCTGAGAGACACAACACATACAGGACTACTCAGCCCAGACAGGGATCCCAGGACAGACCAAGTATGGAAACCACCAAAGTCCAATGTAATGAATCAATTTTATTGGGGTTACTCAGAGGACCAGATGGGAAGGGGACTCCTGCACATCAAGGGCTCCCTCCCAGACCCCAGATTAGGCACAAACCACACCCCAAACACCTGTTTTCACAGAGCGCTCCTTTATTAAGCAGGGAAGAAAAGTTAAAGGGACTGCTTTCTGACTCTGGCAGAAAAAGAGCAGCAAATGACCTACAGGTGTAATTTTTAAGCAGAGAAAAGGGGGGGGGGGGTCTGTGTTAGAATGTGCTAGGATGCAGTGGTAGAGGAGATAGGGGATGAAGGGGAAGGGAACAAGGGAAAGGGGGCAGGGGTATTTGTCCCGGTGGGACAAAGGACTGCCTCTGGGTAGAGAGGAGACAGATGTGGTGGTCTATAAAGGTAAACTGGGAAACCCTGTGTTAGGATGAGGTGTTTAATTTTGATTGGGCATGTTAATTAGGTGAGCCAAAGGGACTCATAGCTGATAGCTGGACTTCAATGGTTTGATAGCTGGACCTTTAGTGGTAAGCCTCAGGAGGAGGAAGTGGCCAAATAAGGGAATGGACCTTGGTGGCTAGAATAGACCTTGGTGGCCAGCTTTAGGAATGTGATCTAATGGTTTTTTAGCAAGGCAGCGGGGAGGAGAGAGGAAAGTCCTGCCAGGGCCACATGCTGGAGTGGGCTAGTGTCCCTTCAAGATGTGACTCAAAGACAGCTGATCACCAAGCCCCAGCCCAACATGGGTGACAGCTCACAAAGTTGGGACCCCAGAGCATGCTGCAGAGCCTGCAGGCAGCTCAACAGGTTGGAGAGTGTCCTTTCTAGGTTGCCGTACCTGGGCTAAACCTCTTCCAGGCAGCTCAGCTGGTTTCTGCTGCTTCCCAGCAGTTGGTCTGGTCTCAGTCTCCCTGGCAGCCGAGTTTCTATTGCTTACTCTGGCAGAGAGGGGCCTAGTGAATCTGATCAGTTTCAGAGACTTCCTGAAGCTATTTTGAATTGTTTCCCTTCCTGTTTAAGGAGCTTCTTGCAGAATGGAATATTTTAATCCTTGGAGGAAACTAAGGATTTATTTAATATGAAACATTAAATAAAACCAGAGGCTGAGGAGGCTGGCTCATAATGAGCAAGGGCCTGATGAAGAACATCAGCCATGCACAAAATATCTCTTTTTAGAACTAAATAATACACCACCAGTTTAAGAAATTCTCGTAGAGGACTGGGACTGTCCCTCAGTAGGACAATTGTCTAGGAAGAGCAAGCCTTGAGCTTGATCCTCAGCCCTGAGGGGAGAAAAGCCACATACAAAAATAAAATGTTGGCCAGGCATGGTGACACACACCATTAATCCCAGCACTTGAGAGGCAGAGGCAGGTGGATCTCTCTGAGTTCTAGTCTACAAAGCAAGTTCCAGGGGGGCTGTTACACAGAGAAACCCAGTCTCAAAAAACCAAAAGAAAAAAAAAAAACAGATAAAATGTTTCATATTAAATTAATTTAAAATCCAAAAAGATTACTACAGTGGTGAACAATATTATAGCAGAGAGAACCTGGAACCCTATGACCTGCAAGCTCTTAAAGTTAGGCAAAATGGCTTGACTTCAGAGAGAAGAATGAACAAGATGAAGAAGAAGCAAGCTCGGAGAGGGGGAACGGAAGGGTGGTGTGACTGAAAGGTAAAAAGTCCGCCCACTTCCTGGTTTGAAAAGCTATCAACACCCACCAATCCTTGAGCTTGAAATCCCACCAATTCCCACCCCGGAAGTCTCCACCCTGGAAAGCTCCACGTGTCCCCCACTCCCCAAGGAACTCTATATAAAGCCTCCCTCCTGCTCAGTTCCCTGATTCTTCTTCTCCCCTGAGCAAGGCAGCTACCCGGCAGCATTCCTGAATTTGCGATTGAATCTCACCAAGAAAGACAGATCCTCTAGTAGATATTCTCAGAAAATGGAGAGTGAAAAAGTTTTCTC